TAGTGATCCCCTGGGCTCTCAGGTTGTTTAGGACAGCCCATTTGGGAACATCTTCCTTTTCAGGAACAGGAGGCTGGGCAGTAACCACCCCCCCATCTTTTTCTTTGATGTTCTATAGTCACATCACATTACGCTGTGTCAAATCACCTTCGTATGATGGAGAAGAATTAACATAATATGATGTTGGAAGGCAAGTTGCTGCTTGATACACCGTAACTTCCTCCATTCAAAAGCAAAGTTGCACAGCTAATTACCTGCTCTTAACAAAATATTCGTCCAATATATGCCAGAAAGATGAGGGATGTTTCAGTCAAGCAGACAAGGATCCATCCTGATTTGTGATGCTTAATGCCATGGCAAGGACACCTTGTAATTGGATCCCCAGCTAACGTGGAAAGTGTGGAGAGATAATGTCACTTCAGAAAGATGCAAACCAGGAGGGGCAGAGATTTGTTCAACATTGTTTACCATTTCCGTCTCTTTGTCTTTCTCTCTCTCTGTCTCTGTCTCTCTGTCTTTATCTCTATCTGTCTCTATCACTATCTTTCTATCTATCTCTCTATTTCCTCACCCCTGGAATCCAGCCACCACAATTTGAGGGTGGCCAGGTATTGCAGAGGCCTCACGTGTGTTTCAGCCTCAGCCCCATTGCAGGTCTCAGCCAACGGCCAGCATCATTGGGAGAGGGCAAGTCTTCAGTTATTCCAGCTCCCATTCTTCAGGTCTTCCAGCTGAGACCCCAGACGTTGCAGAGCAGAGAAATGGAAATTTCTCTGTTGAAATTCCTGACCCACAGAATCCAGGAGCTTAACAAATGGTTCTTTCATACTACTAAGTTTTAGGGTAATTTATTATGTATCCATAGTAACTGTAATATCTTAATAACAGACTTAATAATAACGGGGCTTTATAGCTTTTCATATTCACTACTCACTTAATCCCCAATGGGAGACATATTATTACTCTCCTGATTTTATGGAAAGGCAAAGTTCCTTGATTAATAGAGCTAGCAGATGGTAGAGCTAACATTAAAACCAAAATCTTCTGGCTCCAAATCTTGGAGTCCTTTCCCTAATATTATCTTTACTGGGTCACACACTGCATTTTGGTGAACAGGAGACGGCTTCAATCAGATCCGGGATTTTCAGTTGATTCTAGTGGCAGTGTAGCATGTTATGTGCTGTGGTTCTGGGATTCGATTTGCCTGGGTTCAGTCCCTGACTCTGCCTCCTATGAGCTGTATTGTAATTGGTCAGAACCCTTTGGGGTCTTTCCAGGACAGACCCCTCCCCCATATCTTCTGCTGTAGCTCCTCTCTGAAGTACCTAGATATTAGTATCTCATGCATACTTCCTGCATTTTTCAGATACTAAAAACCACCACCAAATGGAAGAAGTTAACTGCTTGATGATCATGAGCAGATAGCTCCCAGACCTTCTGGTGCCTAAGGATGGATAATGTTACCTGTCCTGTGGCCTCAGCATCAACCAATCAGAGAACTGTGCACGAGCTGGTCACAGACCCTGGGAAGCCCCTCCCTCACCTTGCTGAAATACTCACTTTTAAAATGCTTTGCTGAAACCCTTCAGGGAGTTCAAGAGTTTTTTGGCCATGAGCCGCATTCTCCTTGCTGGGCCCTGGAGTTTCTCTTCTCCTTGCTGGGCCCTTGGAGTTTCTCTTCTCTAAACTCCAAGCCTTCAGTTCGGCCTCACTGTGCAACAGGCACACAAACTTGTGTCCAGTAACAGTATAACTTGGACAAATTAAGAGATGTGCTGAGTTTCTTCATCAGTAAGTAATTTAGAACAATGCCTGGCACATCAGTGATGCTCAATCAATGTTGATTGTGATTATGGTTTATAGAATTGCTCTTAGGCTCAGGAAGAGGGACCCCTGCCCTAGGCCTTCCACTTTAGAAGGATGCATTTGACCCATATCTCTAGTCATGCCCTTCCCATAGGGTGAAAGTACAAGGAACCAGGAGGACAAAGCATTCTAGCCAACGTCCTTCCCTCCAGAGTGTCCTTCCCTCAGCGTGTCGAGATCGTGGAATTCCCTACACACATGGCTGCAAGCCCACTTCCATGGCACAAACTATTACCATCTTTGATTCTTCATCCTAAGGGCAGACTGTGTTTTGTCATATTCACCCTAGGCTGAAGGGTGGGCAAAGCTTGGCTGCTTGCATGGGGTGTGGGTGAATCTTACACATGCAAGCTCAGAATTCTCACACGTGTGTGCAAAGCTTCTTATGTCATGAGTAAAGCCAGGAATGGGAAGAGAAAAGGGTGTGGGTGATGAGCTGGTGTCCAGGATCCAGTTCTCCCCGTTCTATATATTCCATCATGTAACCCCCCCAAAATTTGAAATTTGATCTGGGCTTCCAAGTCATTATGAAAGTCTATTTGTTAAGACAGGAAACCAGAATATATTCTGTTTAGCATGTATTTTATCTTGATTTATAAATTTTAAATATTTAGACATGTAATGTTTGGGTCTCTATTCACATTTTTATCCCAGGCCCTGCAAATATTAGGATTGACAGATTGATTAGGAAAGAGACAAAAGGCAGGGAGGCTAGCTGCAGGGCTCCTGTAGGCATTCAGGTGACAAATGGAAGGCCAGATTAGGGTTAGAGACTTTAAAAGGAGGAAACGGAAGTGAGAGACATTTCAGCAGTAGAAGTGATCAGCCTCACCCCTCAGTGGAATGAAGGGTTTGAGAACGGTACCAGTGACTTCTCAGATTTCTCTAGTTAGTCCATGGATATAGAAAGGATGATGGGAGAAGCAGCAGAATTGGGGAAGGGAGGGAGCAAAATGAGTCTGGTTCTGTGCCTGCTGAGTTTCAGGTGCCAGCAGGCTATCCACACGGTGAGGACTGTGGCTTGAGATACATAGGTTTGGTAAATATTAAGGCATGGAATTGATGCAATCACCGGAATGGGAGAAAAGGGCTGGGCAGCACCTCAGAGGAAGAAAAGCCAGATAATATGCTATTGTATCAGCCAAGGTAAGCTGAAGTGACACATGGCCCCCAAACCTCAGGAGCTTACAACATCAAAGGTTTATTTCTCATACATTTGCATTGCAGGTCACTTGTGGCTCTGCGCATGTTCTCTAAGCAGTTCCCATGCAGGTGGAAGAGCATGACTGGTGGGATTGCAGAGGGAAAAGAGATTGTGGCAGTTCACATACTGGCTCTTAAAATTCTTTCTTGGAAATGACACGTGACTCTGCTGCTCACATTTCATTGGGTAAAGCAAGTCACATGGTCAAGCCAGCCATCAATGTGGTAGGGAAGAGGCAGTGGTTACTTTTGAACAGTAGCAATGTAGTCAGTGACATGCCACCCCAGGAAAAACAAGTCTTCTTACCCTTATTTTTTCTACTGCATAACAGGAGCTGTCTAGCTTGGAAGTGGGCTGCAGGACTGCTTTTCAAGTAATTAACAGTAGTTAACCAAGTTATGTGGTGGAGAGAGAGGGATTAAGATGCTGATATTTCAAATATGAGCAAAAGCATACACAAACTTATAGAGATGAAACAGAGCATTCATTCACTCAGTAAGCACTTAGTTATCATCTACTAAATACCAAGTACCAGGAAAAGATCTTCCTACACACCCAGGAAATGACCTAACACACCCAACAAAACTAATGATGTATAGCCATAAGGAACACAAACATTTTTTTTATGAAACAGTTTCTAACTGCTTTATATCCATTAGCCATCTCTCCTCAATAACTCGGTACAGTGATAATTATTACTATCATTTTACAGATGAGGAGTGTGAAGTTCAGGGGCTGTATAACTTCCCCAAATTTACACAGCTGGCTAGGGTCAGAGGCTGGATTCCAATCCACTCCCACTTCTAATCTCCCACTTAACCGTCTATCCTCAGCATTCAGGGGTTTGCCCAAAGCGAGAAAGAATTCAGGCACAGAGTATACAGAACAAAGGCTCGAAAAGAGGCCGGAAGCTAGTTAATAGGCTACACCAATTCACTTTAGATGGTGTCAAAGAGAATAAGCACAGGCCCAAAATGGTAGCACTTGTGCAAAACCCATGATACTAAACCTAGATGTAATACCTAACCTAACTGCAGTTTAGACCTTCACTAGAAATGTAACCTTAATCAACCAGTCTGGAATCTTCTGGTCAACACCAATAAGGTAATCTGTCATGTGGACCCTCTCCATACCCTCAGAGGCAGAAGAGGCAATCTGTATGATGAAAACTTAGCCTTTCCCTTCTCCCAGAAAAGAAGATATTCTGGCCTAAAAATAATCCTTTCTTTTCTTTTTCTAATAGCTCCCTTACCCCACCCTTCTTCCTATAAAAACTTTTCATTTTGTACAACCCCTTGGAGTCCTCTTCTAGTTGCCGGATACCATGCTGCCCAATTCGTGAATCAGTGAATAAAGCCTATTAGATCTTCAAATTTACTTGGTTGAATTTCGTTTTTTTAACAAGGGTGAAGTTTCTTCCTGGTGGACTCCTGGAGGGAGTGATGCTTTAACTAAGGACTGTTAAGAAAACAAAATTCAACTGAGTTAACTGTCGACTGAAAAAAAATAAGCACAACAGGAGAGTTGTGAGTTAAGGTTTATTGGGGGAAAAATGAGGACTATAGCCTGGGAGACAGCGTTTCGGATAGCTCTGAGGAGCTGCTTCAAAGAGGTGGGGGGAAGGGCAGCGTTATGTACGATTTTAGTGAAGGGGGGACGTGCAGTCAAGCACACATTTTGGCAGAGGTTTGCTGCTAGTCACGAGGAGCAAATATCACAGTTAATGATTTCAGTACTTTTCTAGATACAAGGAGATGCAAGAGTTGGGCTCATAAAATCTTCTCCTGAAAATATCTAACTATCTGAAGGCCTGTTCTGCCAGTTTTTCCCAGAGCACAGAGTGCCTCATTCCTGATCTCCACCCTGAACTCCTTTCAGGGGGTGTTGAAAGTCAGCAGCTGCAGCAGCTCATGATTTTTAATCCTTGTAGAGGTAGATGGCAAGTGCCAACTGGTAGTTGGCAAAATGTTAAAGATCTTATTGGCTTTATTCAACAATTCATGAATCGGGCAGCATCCCATCTAGCAGCTAGAAAGGAGCTCTGAGGAGCTGTACAAAATAGAAGACTCCTATGCAGGAGAGATCAGGACAAGGGATTTATACCTGCTAAAAAAGGCTACCTTCCTATAGGAGACAGCAGGAATCTATCAGTTAGATGACCTCATTAATGTTGACCAGGTAATTCCAGTCCAGTTGACTGGTATAAGATTTCATTCTTGGGAAAGACTGAAAGTGTCATTAAATTAGGTATTAAGTCTTGGTTTGATGACGTCTGGTGACAAGTGACTTCCTTTTGGGGCTGTTGTCTTGTTTTTAACAGGAAGGACTGTCAAATACGGAAGACCAAGCATGAGCAAAGGAACTGGACTGAGACTGTGAGGTGAGTAAGAATTGTGGAGGACAGAGGAGAACTGATTTGGTGGAGAGATCATATCAGATTTTGAGCTTCAAAATAGTAACCATCTTCCTCCATGTCTTTCCTAATCTCCCAGGCAGGTTCAGACTAATTCATGGAACATTTTGCATCTCTCTTCAAACAACATATTCTATCTTCTATTACACATGTAGCAGCCTTATCTTCCAAGATTGTAAACTTCCTAACAGCCCTGACAGTGTCCTATTCATCTTTGTTTCCCAACACTTGGCATTTAGAAGCATCTCAATGTGTCTGCCCAATTGAGGATTGTTCCTCAAATAAGTCCTCTTGTGGTCAAGGAGAGCTGCCTTTGATTGGAGAAATGTTAATAGCTATATTTTGAAGAGGAGTTAAGGGGGGATCCTCCTGGGATGGGTGTAATTGGAGAGAGGGAAAGATTATTTTTTCCAGAACATTAGGGGTCACAGTTATTTGAAGAATCAAAGACAGTCTTCTCTGTCAGCTCACGGAAGCTCCTTTGCATTTAAAAGCAATGCCATTTACTTACAAATTATAGTGCTTTTGATGCAAATGAGCTGCTTCTGCTTCTAGACAGTTTCCTCTCCCCCAGATTAGCTAAGAAACGTGGGGAAATTGACCTAGGATGCAGAATGCTGAGCCTGACCTGAGGCTTATTAAAATAAAGCTGCTATTTAATTATTCCTATTTCTGAAGGAAAAGGCAATTAGAACCCAGTGAAGTGGCGGGGGGGGGGGGGGGGTGGGCAGGATTTTGCTTTTAATCATGTGAATTCTTGGGTGTGGAGGTGGCCAGCAGAGCACACTTGACCAGACTGTGTAGGGAAATTGCTGAGTGCAGAGTCCTGTCCCAGGCCAGACCTGACCCAGACTTGCAGAAGAATTGTGGTAAATTACTGAACCCTTTTGGCCTTCAGTTTTTTAAGCAGGGAGACCCGTCCCTGCCCTCTTCATGAGAGGACTGGTGAGAGAATATTAATCTAGTGGCTGGTATTTGACAATTTACAATTTATAAAGTGTTTTTGCACCCATTATCTCGTTTGATCCCCACAAGACCCTGTGAGGTGGGAATTATCGTTATTTGCATTTCCAACAGGAAAACTGGGACCAGTAGAGGTTAAATCGTGCAAGTCACACGGTTAGTTATGGAGGCATGCTGTTTCTGACTCCAAATCCCGTTCAACCCTTCTTTCTCCTTGATAGATAGAACAATGATGAAAAGCTAAGGGAGAAAAATCGGTTTTTCTTTTACCCAGATTAGTTTCTTCAGAGGACTCCTGTGCATGAGACTGGCCAAAACCAGATTAACAAGAGAGAAACAAACAGAAGTTTATTAACAGGTGCATTGCTCGTAGGAGCAGGGGTGGTTGGAATTTGAGCTTATATACCATCTTAGGCTAAACAAAAGGAAAAAGTGTTTGGGGCCTCTGGGTAGAAAGACGGGATGGGGAGGCAAGTTTTGGAAAGGTGACCAGGAAAGTATGGTAAACTTGTTTAGTAAAATGTTGTTTGGTGAGGTTTGTTATGCAGATTTACATTGGTGATAAGAATTGTTAAGAGTCCTCCTCTTCCTGGTATGGGCAACAGAGACATCTCTACAAGCGAAAATTTCCTTTGTAAAAGAAAAAATTGTGCCCTCCTTTTAAAGCTTTTCCTGCACCTTCTGGTTCTCAATTGCCTTTTAACTCAAAATAATCCACATGCCAAAGAGGTGTGTGTATATATATATATATATATATTTTTTTTTTTTTTTTTTTTTGCGGTACGTGGGCCTCTCACTGTTGTGGCCTCTCCCGCAGGCTCAGCGGCCATGGCTCACGGGCCCAGCCGCTCTGTGGCATGTGGGATCTTCCCGGACCGGGGCACGAACCCACCTCCCCTGCATCGGCAGGCGGGCTCTCAACCACTGTGCCACCAGGGAAGCCCCAAAGAGGTATATTTTTGAGTGGCATCTTCTGGTACCCTTTAGAAGATAAGCCATACCTAATAATATTACTTTCTAAGAGCCATGCCTATATGCTAATTCATTTAATCTTCCCAACAACCTAATAAGGTAGGTACTATTATTATTTTCACTTTACAGATGAGGAGACTAAGACACAGAGAGGCTATGATCACATCACCAGTAGGTAGTGGAACTGTGATTAGAATTTAGGAAGACTGGTTCTAGAACACGTGTCCTTATGCCTTAAGCAATGACTTTTCCCATTTCTTGTGGCAGAGCAGAAGGACTATGAGTCGTTACAAGTATGATATTCCTTGAAAAATGAAAGCACATATATTCTCCTACTCCCCGTTCTCGTCACCCAGAAATCTTTCCTTCTAACAATCATGTTGCCAGGATTTCTACCATTACCAATCATTTCTCTGGACAAAGTTATTAGTCCTCCTTGTTTAAAGGCTCTCACCTTTCCTGCCTCCTTCCCCACCACCCTACCCTCATGTACATGCACACAGAATAGTCTAAAAGTCTAGCAGCAAGTCCTCCATGACCTTGACCCCTCTTGCCTCAGCTCTTCCCCTCCCTCCTTCACACCCTGCCCTCCCAGGGCACCAAACCGTTGGAAGTTCCTCAAAGGGCCACAATCTCTTGCATATCAGTGCACCTTCCTGTTTAATTCTCCCTTCCTCATTCCCTGTGAGACACCTACTTTTTAAAGTTCTTTGCTGCTCTCCCAGTTTACTTTCAGTGCATCTCCTCAGTGCCCCCATAGCAACCTGAGCATTTTCTTTTCATAGGGCATAATGGTTGGAGCAAATAAACTGAGAGCTACCTAAATGAAAAACTTTTTTTTTTGTTAATCTCTGTACTGCCTAGGTCGGTGCCTGCTACTTAGTAGTGAAAGGATTCAGAACCAGCCTCCCTGAAATGTGCCACTTTGCCATGTGGATTTATTTGAGCTGAAGACAATCAAGGCACAAATGACTCAGGAAGAACTTTTCACCTTTCCCCTTAACTGCCCAAAAGATTTTAGATTGGGGGCCTGGTCCAGGAAGAGAGCTATCACCAAAGATAGCTACAAAGAATATGGGCTAGGTGTGGTAAATTGGGTGGAGGGAAGCTAGGCAGGGGCCTGTGGACCAAATTCCTCCCTGTGTCCCATTGTCTCTGTGTGGCATGGAAAACATTTGTTTACCAAATATTTGCTTTTCCCATCTTCCTGTAAGTTGTCTTCCTTCCCTTTGAAGCCCTAGACCCCTACCACCTTCTTAGCTCAGAACAGCATGTTAGCTCTATTGCCTGACTTCCTGTGGGTCTCATATTCTTATGGGGCTCCCATATATACATAATTAAATTTGTTTTTCTCCTGTTAATATGTCTTATCTCAATTTAATTATTAGACCAGGCAAATGAACCTAGTAGAGTAGAGGAAAATATTTTCTTGCCCAACAGTTGGTGACCCAGATAGGATTACCTTCACTGGCTGGACACTGCTCAGTCTGAGGCTGCTACAGCTGAGAAAACTGGGACCTCTGACAACAAGCCAGCAGAAAGTAAACATTCTTACCAATTCAGTCTTCCAGGCTGCAAAATCCAATGGAAGCAAGAGTGGTGAGAGTCTTTTTTTTACTTTTCTAAATTTAAATTAGCAGGAGAAAATATTATAGGTATAGCAACTTTGGTAAAGATTTGCTATTCTTCTTGTTGATCCTTTCCCTCATAGAGATGACCACTGTCTTTCTTTGTCTCTGTCTGTTGTGTCATTTGTCATAAGGAGGAAAACCATAGGGTTGAATGTAGGCATAAGCCCTATAAGTCCGATATTTGAGTCAGCCTCACAGACTGGTTGAGTTCATGATTCTCACCAGACTGGAGTATGTTTAGACACATTTTGCTGTGGGTTAGTGTGCATATGAGGTAAAGGCTTTTGTTAAGGGACATCTTGGAAGCCAAATCTGTGAAACTGGCAGGCATGGATCAAGCACTTAAAAGCTATTAGAGTGCTCATCACCTAACTCAAAGACTCTCATGTTAAGATCAGTTGGTCATGGAGAAGGTTAGATTGACACTAGGTCACCCACCAAACCTCAAGAAAATTCCGTACAACAAGGTGTTCTGTAAAATACCACACAACCTTCCACCCAGTGACGCATTTGACTTAGGTATCAAATTTAGAAAGGAATTTGAAAGATTCGTGACCATTCACAACCCCCCTCCCAGGGACTGAGGCCAAAAACTTGGCCTCTCTGCAGCAGTGCCAAGTCAAATCTCAGAGACCGAGTTTGGGGTGAAGTAGAAAAGATAGCTTTATTGCTTTGCCAGGAAAAGAGGGACACAGCAGGCTCCAGTCCTTGAAAACCATGTGTCCCCACCCAGGAGGATTTGTTGAGGAGTTTTATAGTGATGGTTCAAGGGTGGGACTGCTGATAAGATTAGGGTGTGTGCAGGTCCTGCACCCTTTTAATCTGGTCTCAGATAATCTCTTGGTGAGCTTCTCTGTTTCCTTTAATCTGGCCTCAGGTGGTCTTCTCTGGAATAAAGAATGCTGACATCTTCCATTTGTTGGGGTTTTAGTTCTATAAAGAGCTCAAAGATACTGTGATGTGTGTCTCTTAAGGCAGAACCAGGACCCTGCCCCAAAGCTGCACTACAGTTTCTTGGTTACTCCTCCCTTATCTCTGCATCCTCTCCCATCCCTGGTTAGCAACTGTTCAAATCTTTCCTTTGAGACTCAGGGAAGGCCATGGAAGCTGGAGTCTGTTTCCTGAAAACAAGGAAAGGGGGACACAGAAAGTCTTCCATGCCCAGGAGCCTTATGGGGGCCTATTCAGTTTCAGAACCTAGATTAACTGCTAAGGGGTATTCTTCCCTTCTGTGATTATACCGTAATTATAGACAATTCAGATGGCCCCCTGGGGAAGAAAAATACACACACAGGGGAAATAGGTGACCAGAATTCCTCCTAGGCCCTCCCACAAATGATCAGCTGAAGGCTGATGTTCAGGGGCTGATAGAAGCAATCTAGAGGCGTTCCCCCTAAGGTGAATTGGTCCAAGGTTGAACTGTGTACTCAAAAGGAAGGCTTTCTAAAAATGCTTTATATGGACTTTTCAAAGACATAAATCTTTTGGTTTCCATCTTAGTTGGAAATCTTCTCTTTGATATACAGAAGTAAATTGAAGATAGTATAGTTGGATGGGCAGGTCAGCTCCTTCATTTAGGCTGTAACCTCGTTCTTTGAAGAATGAAAAGCAACTGTGTTTATCTTACAAATCTTTGCAAAAGTAGAAATGCAGCTCTAAAGGCCTATTCCTTTTCACCAATCCCAGAACCTCCCCTGTTTACCTCAAAAGGCTTGTAAATATTGGTCTTAGGAAACCAGTCTTTCTTGTAGGAACTTGCATTCATTTCCTGTGCCTTTGAGATGTAAATATTAACTCTTATCTAGACCATTCCTAGTTCCTAAGATTGAAAAAAGGGACAAAGGAAGGGAAGAGCCTTTTTAAACAAACTGCTATAAAAGCTCTCTTGCCCAAAATCTAGTCAGGTACACTTAACTTATTCCAATTCACTATTCTACAAACTAGTGAGTTTTGCACAGTCATACCCATCCCATGGCTACAATTTTAAATCAAAAACTATACGGTCTCGGGCTTCCCTGGTGGCACAGTGGTTGAGAGTCCGCCTGCCGATGCAGGGGACACGGGTTCGTGCCCCGGTCCAGGAAGATCCCACATGCCGCGAAGCGCCTGGACCCGTGAGCCATGGCCGCTGAGCCTGTGCGTCCGGAGCCTGTGCTCCACAATGGGAGAGGCCACAACAGTGAGAGGCCCGCGTATGGCAAAAAAAAAAAAAAAAAAAAAAAAAACAACAAACTATACGGTCTCTATGTCTGTCTTCATGTTTATGTATGTCTATGTATGTGCATTACAGATATATTTTTCTACCTCTGGATGGTATTGCCAAATTCATTTGTAAAAGAACTCTATTTAATTGGCTTAAAATAAGCACTTATAAATTATTTTTAAATCTCAGAAATGTAATAGAAACTAGCCCAAATGTTTTTCAAGTTTGCATGACCTAGGATAATTTTGGGTAAATAAAATCTAGTTTAAGTTTGTTGGTTTAATTAGCACAGACATGTCTTTAGAGTTATCAGCATTAGGTATAATAGTTTTATTTTACCTAGGTTTACTGAAAGTCAAATAAGCTCATCTCTGTTACAAAATACGTCAGCAAGAAAAATAATTTAAGGTGATGGCTAGCTGCTTTAAAGTCTTATGAAATCTTCAGGCATAATCTAAATATGATTGTTAAAAACAAATGAACTGTGTAATAGATGTAAGTGGCATAAGAGTTTTTAGGTAACTTTTCAATAATAATTGTTTTATGGTATGTCTGTTTTAAAATAGCTTCCCAAATCTCTTTGGTAACTTCCACCCTTAGAATTTTGCTAAGCTAAATTAACTGATGGGAATTCATTAAATGGCTAGATCATTTCCAAATAAGGTAAAACACTAAAACATTAATTGCTAAATAAGTCTAAGTTTACCTATGCAATACTTTTAACCCCTTATTACAAAGGAACAAAAGATATTTGGGTCTCTTAGTAAGCATGTTTTGTGCCACACCAAAAAATTTACTGTGAGATCTAAGCATGTGTTTCTAGAAATTACAAAAAGTATTTATACATTTGCCAAGCCACAGAATGCTAATATAAAAGATAGTTCACAATTGTTTACTTTTTTATTTTCACTAGAAATTAAGGGGGTTTTTTTTAATTTAAAAATTCTAATATGTGTAATTAAAACTACTAGAAATAAGGGAAATACAAAGAAAATAGGATGTGGATTGGGCTAAGAAAATGTAAGAGGTGTGGAGGTGCATTTGTGTTAAGGAAAAAGAAAGCAAATTTGTCCTAAAGTAAAACTGGTTATTTTAGAATGGGAAAGATAAGAATGAAGGACAAACTAAATGGTATAGAAGGTAGGGAAGAGAGAGAGAAAAAAAGACAGAGAGAATTTTACCTTGTATAATCAAGCTGGCTACAATTGAATTGTTATTATGGGGGTTTTTTAAATAAGTTTTAATGTCAATAGTGTACTTATATAAAACTGAACCTTAATTTTCTTTCATCTGCCAAAGAAAAACGTTTTGTTGGACTATTGGTCTGCTCCTAATAAGAGATTGTAAAAGGTTTTTCTTTACCTTTTTCAATAATATGCCTAAAAGCAGAAATTCTATGTTTTATCAGAATAATTTCCTGTGCTTCATGTTGTCTTTATCTTCAGGTCTTTTGATTACTTAACTAAATGAAGTATTAAAAGAGCTAAGTTTTGCTCAGAACTATGTAAGCTTCTACATTTGCCTTTGAAATCTTCTTGTCATTTTGGTTGAATGGATAATTAAATATTGTTTCATAACGATCTGTGATTCTATTTAGTCAAGCATCCAAACCTTTTGATATTTTTGACAAACTTCCCCAAATCAAATTTTAAATGATGTCTTTTTGACCCAGAAGTAACTTTGGGATTTTCCAGAGGGTCTCTGTAACATCTCAAAAGATTTCTTCTCTCTCCTTATAAAAAGAGAGATGTTAAAATAATTAGGTTTATTTGATAAGTTACATGAAGCACTATCAAATAAGTGAAGACAAGTGTTAGATTGTATTTGTATAGATATATACTATTAATATGAGTGTTCTACTGGTTTGCAAGGCAGAAATAGAGACACAGTTGTAGAGAACAAACATATGGACACCAAGGGGGGAAAGTGGAGGAGGGGGGTAGTGGTGGTGGGATGAACTGGGAGATTGGGATTGACATATATACACTAATATGTATAAAACAGATAACAAATAAGAACCTGCTGTATAAAAATAAATAAATAAAATTAAATTTTAAAAAATATGAGTGTTCTAGAAATTGTATGAAATTCCTAAAATTCTGATATGTCCTGGTATAATGTTAATCAGTCATAACTATAGTCATTATCTTAAAATGTTGCACGTTACAAAAATAAGTAAATTTCCTTGTCAATTACATTATAATAAACTCTCATCAGATCTTTAAAAGTGGGTATTTTTAAGTCTTTTGTCATTCACTCTGTCATTGTTTTACTCTGATGTTTTTGCAGAAGTGTTCCTGAAAAACTTCATCTTTAGAGAGATTCATGGAAAGGACTTTTAAAGTATTCTAGAATATAGATTTCTGACAATTTTAAGATCATCAAACTGAACTGGGTAAGAAATTTCAAAATTAATGGAAAAACTGGATTTAAGTATAACAAATATTAATTTCATGGGACTGAATGAACTGATGAGGATGATTATAATTTTTTATGACTTTTTGTTTGAAACATCGCTGGTCCTTTTAAGTTTTGTTTTTCCAGATTTAAGCAAACATTCTTCTCTTTTCTTAGAGTAATTTGGTAAAATCTATCTTTGTGAACAAAGATGAAACAATTACTTTTTTTCCCTGCCTGATCCCTCCAGAATTCAGAAACTCTCAGTGAGTATTCTTATTTTCACAGCAGTTATTTGCCTAAGTTCCCTAAGACTCTGTTCTCCTTGTAACAGGACACAATTAGAAACGTTGGTTACATCACCAAGGCCTTGAATGAAATGTCATATTTGAGAGAAATGTATATAGACTCATATATGACCAGACAGCTTTAAGGAACTAAGGTTGACTTTATGGAACCAATAAAGCCCATTGGAAAAATAAGCCTGGACAACTTGATATCAGCTTTAGAGAAATCACCATGGTAGCTCATGTAGGGGCAATCTTTGTGCCTGTTACTGTGTGGCTACTCAGAAACCTCACCGGAGACATTCAAACTGCAATCCAGTAAGTACATCAGATTGACATTGCCTGCCCTCACTCCACCTGAAAGGGCCACGAGCTGGACGTTGAGCAATCCTCCCAACTGACCGCCTTCAGAACGCAGACACTAAGGTTACAGTCAGCTCCAATCATTAACCATTGTTTTCTTTTGTTTCCATAGAAATGCCTCTTATAAAGCACCTGATTGCTTGCACCATAGGCCTCACTTTTGGAGCCCACCTGCCTCACTGCCTCCTAAAATGAGACACAACCGTTTAACTAAACTGATCTATTTTCAGACTAAGAGACTGGTTCAATAGATGGAGCAATCTACCAACTCAACTTCTGGACTATAAAATTTCTTGAATAGATTTTAAAGGCAGGACAGGAGGATTTCAGAATGAGCCTCCCCAAAATGTGCCACTTTGCCATGTGGATTTATTTGAGCTGAAGACAGTCAAGGCCCAAATGACTCAGGAAGAGCTTTTCACCTTTCCCCTTAACTGCCCAAAAGAATTTAGATTCGGGGCCTGGTCCAGGAAGAGAGCTATCACCAAAGATAGCTACAAAGAATATGGGCTAGGTGTGGTAAATTGGGTGGGGAGAAGCTAGGCAGGGCCTGTGGGCCAAATTCCTCTCTGTGTCCCATTGTCTCTGTGTGGCATGGCAAACATTTGTTTACCAAACATTTGCTTTTCCCATCTTCCTGTAAATTGTCTTCCTTCCGTTTGAAGCCCTAGACCCCTACCCTTTTCTCCTCAGCTCAGGATGGCATATAAGTCTTAATTGCCTGACTTCCTGTGGGTCTCATATTCTTATGGGGCTCCCGTACACACATAATTAAATTTGTTTTTCTCCTGTTAATCTGTCTTATCTCAATTTAATTATTAGACCAGGCAAATGAACCTTGAAGAGTGGAGGAATTTTTTTCTTCTCCAACAGTAGATATTTGATAAAGTTTCTCTAGGCCAATACTGTTCATCAGCACTCTATTATAAGCTAGTTTATCAGTATCTTTCTTCTGTAATAGAAATAGCTTTATAGATTTTCTTTCCTGATTATTAAAGTAAAGCGTTCTCATTGTAAATATTTTCCATTATTACAAGAAAATGTAAAGAAGAAAAAAAAGTCACTAATAATATCCCCACCAGAAATATCTTCTCTTTCAGCTAGTTTTTTATGGTAGCAGCTAGCTGAGAAAGGATGGTACCTATGACAAGTTCATTCAACATGAACACGGCCAAGAGAAAAGGAGAGACCTAAATCATAGAGCCATGGCAAGGCATCTGTGAGTTAAACACTTCACTGGATATGTTCCAGCTCAGCAAGGAAAAGCATGAGGTCACTGGCTACTGAAGAAAGAGCACATGAAAAATAGGACAACAAAAACTATAGTAAGGGAATAAAGGAAGAGGCTTTTTTGCTGCCTTCAGAGAACTGAACCAGGACATATGTAGAAAATTTGCAAGGAATCCATCTTTGACTCAATTTAAACAACTTCCTAATAATCAGAAAGATCTACAAAAACAATATATTGCCTTCTGAGATAGTAAGCATCCTGTCCCTGGAGGTGTCCAAATAGCTTAGATGTTAAAGAAAAAATTATTCATGGTACTCATCAAAAGATGGTAAGGCAGACTTTATTCAAGGTGGGAGGTGGGGGGTGGCTACTACAATGGGGTTTTATAGTAAGGGAAAGAGATGAGGTTCAACTCCAAATACAAGGAAAAGTGGAAATTTACAGCCAAGGAGCAGAGAGGGAGTCAGAGGATTAAAAATTACTAAGAGGAAACATCAGGGGTAAGAGAGGATTCTGGCTAAATTAACCTAATAGGATTCTTGCTGAAGGCATATGCCAGGGTGATCAGACCTCAGCTGGGGAATGGTGGAGGATGAACAACTCCATCAGATATTGAGGGTAGAGGATTCTGGTTAAACTGATTTAGCAGAATTCTTGCTAAAACTGGACGATGAAAAGTTGAACATAGAAACACAAGAGTCAGAGCCTAGTTGAGAAGAGAGTTCAGAGGAGCCCAATGAGAGTTTTGATCAAGGAGACAATCTTTGTTACTGAGAGAGATGCATTCATTTACTCAGTCAGCAGGTAATTAGATCAATATTTATTGAGCACCTGATACTTAACAAATGATGTTATAGGTTCTGGGGAACCAAAGTCAAACGAGACCCAGTGGTCCTTGTCCTCAAGTGGCCATCTGTCATGAGCAGGATGTTGCTATAACAGGTGTGAGGGCAGACCAGATGACTTCTGAGATCCTTTCTAACCACAGCATCCAATGAGTCTTAGCTTCTGCGAAGTCTGGTCCCAGCAAACCTCACCAATACGTTCCAGCTTGAATGTGAGTAGAGAAGATGGGAGGGCTCCCTGTGATGCATTGCTATCTCCTGTCCAAGAGGGCCTATTTCTTCTCCTCTAAGGGAGGAGCTAAAGAGTGGCTGCATTTCTAGTTAGGTTTAGGAAAATCCACTTTCCAAGATGGTGTGGATTTTTACAGGGTTTTATTTAAGTTAAATCATGGGGCAAACTTGACTCATGACCAAAGGATTCTTTATTTCATAAAACATCCTGTTTTATGTTTTATGTTTTATGTGTTCTTCAATCGCAAGCTCTCCTCATACCTTTACAATTGGATTTGATCTCACCAGAAAATAATCCTTTGAGGAGGTTACCTATTCGAGAAATCAAGCCCCACATGTTTAATTCCATGGACCTTTGTTTGCTCAGCTTCACCTCTTCACACAGGTACATCAGCTTCTCCCCATCTCCTTGCTGCCTGCTCAAAATCCCTTTCCACCATTACAGTGGATCTTGGACCTCTACAGAGAGACAGCTTTGTGCATATCTATATGACGGGAGAGAAAAGACTTGCAAGTCACTGGATTTTGGGCTGATGAGGACGTTAGGGGCAGATGAAGTGGTCCCCTCATGTGAATTGAATATTAGGTACGTTGTCCCTGGACAAACATCCTGCTCCAGCCTACCTCCTAGAAACTCAAACAGTACCCTGACACTGGTCCTTGATGCCCAGCTGCCTGGAACCCCAGCTTGGCTGTTTTACTCCAACACACGCCTGGAACCAGACCCCGCTTCTTTTTCCTTCTTTCCCAGTCTCTTCTCATTTGCAGAACATACTCACATTGACCTCAACTCAAAAGTTTTATTTTATTCTTCTCTTTCATAAAACCCCTAAATGAAATTTTAATGACATCCTAGTTAATTAACATACACACCTGTGTGCATGCACACACATATACACACGCACACATGCACACACAATAGTGGTTTTTCTCTTACTTTATACCAGGAAGGGTTTGGTCTTCAGAAGCACAGTTGTTAGTAAGAAAAATATTTGTATTTTATTAAAGAGAAGGTCACCTAAGAGAAATTGACTTTTAATGTAGCAAAGAAAAAGCCAAAAAGTAAGTTGAGTTGTTGACATTAAAAAAAAAAAAGCAGATTGGACATTAATATCCTTCTATGTGTCCATGGAAGCTCTAGCCAAAGCAGCTTAATGACTACTGGCTCAGAGATGGGTTGGGACCACTCCAAGAGTGGCTGAGAAGACAGTAGAAGACACCTGAAAGATGGTAGATGACACCAGAAGGGGTGATGCCTGGGGTGGATCCCACCTGACTGTCAGCCTCGGGCATGTCTCCCAACCTCTGCTGCTTTCTGTTTCCTGCCTGGATTGAATGGTCTGGTGGGGTTCTGTCAAAAGTCCCAGATAGGGTTTCCCTGGTGGCGCAGTGGTTGAGAGTCCGCCTGCCGATGCAGGGGACACGGGTTCGTGCCCTGGTCCTGGAAGATCCCACATGCCGCGGACCGCCTGGGCCCATGAGCCATGGCCGCTGAGCCTGCGCGTCCAGAGCCTGTGCTCCGCAATGGGAGAGGCCACAGCAGTGAGAGGCCCGCATACCGCAAAAAAAAAAAAAAAAAAAAAAGTACTAGATAGGCAGTAGGGTAAGTTGTCTGGGTGTCTTTAGCAGACAGTTCCTTGAAGGAGTCGCTTAAAAGAGCAGAGGGAAGAGGAGAGAGGCAAATGGCAAGTCTTGGTGGTGGAAAGCCTCCTTCTGAAGCTGAGATTTGAATTCCTGTCAGCAGAGCAGATGTGGAGGGACGTGTACATTATTCTCTACAAAAATGTACGCAGCCTGAAGGATAAGTTGAGGCTAAAGTCCAGGCCTGGCACAGGGTTACATTGACCCAGAGTGGGCATCTTTTCTAAGCCCCATAAAGGCACTGAATATCTTAGCTTCTGTCTTCACAGCCTTCATAGTCCTCAGCCTGTTCCCCTGCCTTGGAGAAGGCTGGAAGCAGCAGGACAAAACCCTGCATCATCACCATGTACACATCCTCCCCAGCACCATCTTTACCCCTCTTTATGAACAGGGGGATTGAAGGCAGCTTTAACAGGAGACAGCATGAGGGCCTGAGGTGTCCAGGGAATTTGTTTCTTGTTTAGTAACTGCTTCCCAACTGTGTGACTGTGGACAAGTCACCTAATCTCCTTGGATCTCGGTTTCTTTATTCCTACAATGACATCAATCACAGTCCCACCCACCTTGAAGTTTATTGTGACAATGAAACAGGTTCCCTGCCTTTGTCTTGTTCTCTGCCCCTCCCCCGCCAGACTTCAAGCAGGTAAGGACTCTACTCTCTGCTGTACCCAGACTATGCTTCTTAAAATGCTGCAGGGTATTTTCCCGAAGAAAATGTCCTTAGGGGCTTGCAGGCATGGCCCCCAGCAGTCACTGGTCCCGACTGTTTTCTATCTTTGCAGCATTCTTCCAGAGAGGGAGGGGGAGGAGGTGCTTATCGAACTTGTGCAAATAACTCCAAGCAGCTGAACCATGATGCTGCCTGCCTGTGCTCCCTCCAGCCCTTCGTCTGCTGCCCTCTGTTCAGGCCATCCCCTGAGATGATTGGAGAAAGGCTGAAGTCCTCTTAGCCAGTGTGATGTCATCAACACCATGCAAATATGGTAGGTCCCTTTGCCCTTCAACCCAGCACGCCTTGCAGGGCAAAACCTCTGGTGATATCATTTGCTGGAAACTTCGCTGCCAGGTGGGTGCTTCCAGAGCTCTCCATCTAAAAACCCTCAGGACTGGAGATTTAGTAGCCGATCAGGCACCAGGGCTTCCAATGTACGGTTCAGAGAAAGAAGCCATATTACTCTGGGACCTTTTATTCCTCTGTAAATCCCAGTCATATTTAATTCAGCCACCATCAAGGTTTTCCCCTATCTGCCAACGGCAGGGCCATAATATAATGCTCGTCGATTCAAGGAGAAATTAAGAGCCTGCTTAGTATTCAAAGGGTAGTCCCTTTCACTAGCTTCCTTTCTGAAGTCCCCCACCATGCCCATTTAGGCAGGGGAGGGGCATCTCTGCGCTAACTTAAGCAAGTCCTTTAGGCCCTGCGACTGGGGAAAAAGAGACATCATCTCCTTCCCCCTGGTAAACAGTAAATTCAGACTATCTGTGCGGATGACCTGTTGACATTCTCTTCCCCTCATGAAGCCCAGAGAGCAAAAATGACTCACCAAGGCCATAGGCTCCTAAGTGGCAGAGCCATGGCCAGAGAAAGGAGGAGGAGGAGAAGGAAGGGAATTATTTTAATTAATTCATAATTAATTTTGTGAGCATCTCCTATGTTCGAGGCACTTTTGTTTTTAACTGAAGTATAGTTTTTTGTTTTTTTGTTTTTTTGGTTTTGGTTTTTCTTTTGGCCGCACCGCTTGTCTTGTGGGATCTTAATTCCCTGACCGGGGTTCAAACCCAGGCTCCCAGCAATGGAAGCTCGGAGTCCTAACCACTGGACTCTCAGGGAATTCCCCAAGTTGAAGTGTAGTTCATTTACAATGTTGTGTTAGTTTCAGGTGTACAGCAAAGTGAATCAGTTATGCATATATATTCTTTTTCATGTTTTTTTCCATTATGGTTTATTACAGGATATTGACTATAGTTCCCTGTGCTATACAGTAAGACCTTGTTGTTTATTTTATATACAATAGTGTGTATCTGTTAATCCCAAACTCCTAATTTATCCCTCCCCCACCTCCTTTCCCCTTGGGTATCCATAAGTTTGTTTTCTATGTCTGTGAGTCTATTTCTGTTTTGTAAATAAGTTCATTTGTATCATTTTTTAAGATTCCACATATAAATGATATTATATGATATTTGTCTTTCTCTGTCTGACTTTTACATATTCTTTCCTATTAAACACTTAAAACTCTGCAAAGTCAATGTTACAATCTCCACTTAACAAAGGAAGAAACTGAGGCTTTGATCATCCAGCTCTAAAAGCACTTCCTTCAAAGTCATCAGATATTTCCTGAGGGCCTGCTCCGCGCCAGGTACTATACTAAGAGCAGGGAATATCGAAGCAAACATGAGATCTCTGTCTTCCAGTCTAGTAGAAAGAAACAGAAATCAAGAAATAAATAGGAAAAATATCAGAGTGCTGAGTGCTCTGCAGGGAATGAAAATAAGATCATGTGATAGTGGCAAATAGGAGACTGAGTAGTCAGGGAAGGCCTCTCTGAGGAGGTGACATTTAAGGAGGGATCTGAGGGCAAGAAAGAGCCAGGTCCTGCAAAAAGAGAGGAAAGGGGAATCTGAGCAGAAGACATGGTCACTGCAAAGGGCCCAAAGGTGGAATGATCATGGCTGGATGACATGAGAGGAACAGGAAGAAGGCCAGTGTGGGAGACACTGAGCGTCTGAGGTGAGCCCAGGGCTGTAGGCAAAGGCCAGGGCAAGGCGTTTAGATTTTATTTCAAGTATAATGAGAAACCACTGGAGACATCATTTGTATCATTTAAAAAGAGACATTGCCACCTACAGCTTGAGATGCGATTGTTTTCCTGGTTAAGAATTTCTTAAAAGGCCCAGTGAGCCAGCTCCTCTATGCTGTTGTATGAGGGGCCAGCCCCTGCCACTGTTCTCAAAATTCTTGCCCGTATAGAATTATTTTCAGGCAAAGAAAATAACAAACCTCTTAAAAATAAAAACATGAAGGGGTCAGAACCCTCTAAACCTGTGTCAGTCCTGGTACCTCAGAACCAATTGACTACATAGGTCATTCCCAAGTCATGGACCTGAAGTACCAAGACCCAGGGATGTGCTGATGGGTGAGGATACAGTTGAGGAGAAGCCCAGATGATGGGCTGGGCCAGGAGTCCCTCAAAATCTAATAGTGTGAACAGCTGGCCTGCCTAGCTCCCCCAAACCTTCCTCTGGTGTGTTTGAAAACTATGGGGAAGTTGAATAAGCAACTTCCGCTCTCTTGATACAAACTGGAAGCTGTAGAGTCAAAGTTCCCAGAGGTTAATGGAAGCCTGAGTTCTCCATCGACCTTATGGGGCGAGCCAGCTCTCTTCATTTCTTCCTAGGGTTGCTTGGATGTGATACCTGGACCACTAGTCCATCTGCACTCTGGCAGAGCTGGGGAATGTGAATTTTTCAAGAATGGCAGCACTCTGATCTCACCAATGTTTGTGGGCTACTGGAAGCCCCAGCAGGTCACCTTCTGTGGGCTACAGATGGAACCCCTGGTGGAGGGGACTTCAGGATATGGCTTAGGTCCACTGCTGCTTAAAATAGTTCACAGCTCTACCCTTTTCAAAACAAGAATCATCTCATCTGTCCTCAAAAGCCCTAGTAAAGGTAGAGAAAAATAGGATCATTTTTTTTTTTTTTCGAGCTGAGAAAATAGAGACAGACATTAAGTGATTTGCCCAAGGTCATGGAGCAGGTAAGGCGTAGAGCTTGGATTTCAATCCGGTCCTCTGAGTTCAAACTCAGCTGTTTCAAGTGATAGAAATCAGCTGTCCCAGAACTGAGGAGCAACGCCCCATCTTTGCAGCACTGGGGGAGGCTGCAGAAACCCTGGCAGCAGAGTTGCTGTTTGGAAAGCACTGAGCATAAAGAGAAGCACTGTGTTCTGAGGAGAACTTAATTTCTCTGATTTATCTCAACATGGATAAGGAACGACCAAGGTCCTCGGAGTACAGGGTGTCCTGGTTTATTGTCCTCTCCCTGAGGCAGGTTTTAAAAAGGTATAAAAGATTGGATTTTTATCTCTCTGATGTCTACCAGTAGATTAATCAGTTTCCTGCTCACACTGACTCTCCTCTCTACCAACGCAGGGAAGGGAGGGACTAGAGCTGTTTCTCAAGGTGGGGAGGATAGGAGAGGGAAGAAGATGGGGATTTGGGGTAGAATTTCTGTTTGTTCCTGAGCCAAGTGTGCTTGTCCCACTCTAAGCCCTTCAGGGAAGGGAGTGGAATTAATTCTAAGGGGCTTCAAGGAAAAATCATGACTGATTGACAAGTCTGAATCCTGTCCGAGTGAGTCACAGGGGTGAGAGTAGGAGGTGACAGAGATTTTAAACTCTTTCTGGGGAGATGTGTCTGACCAGCCTAAATCAAAGATCTTCAAACCCTAAAGAATCACACTGGATTTTATTTAAAATGCAGATTCATAGGCCCATCCCCAAAGACTCTGATTCAGGAGGCCAAGTTCCTGAATCAGTGATAGGCCCCATTTTCACAAAACCTGTTGAGCGTGTTGAGAAGCATGGGTGGGGAAGAGGGCAAAGCTGTGCCACTCATACAGGGTAACCAAACCCACAGCCTAGACCTCATTAATGCTGTACTGTAATCAGCTGAACACAACCCATAATCTTGATGGAGTGTATAAGTGGAGACCTTCCGATGGTGAAACTCAATACTCTTTTATTTAACCAATATTCTTGGAGTGCCTCATAGGTGCAAGACCCTCACATTAGTTGCTAAGGGTTTGATGACAAACAACTCAGACTAGCTCACAATTTGCCTGGAAGGTAATTATTCAAACAAGTTATAATACTAAAATAGTAAGGATGTTAGGATAGGGAAAGTGCTATAAGAATAGATGTAATGAAAATCTAATTGCAGTATCCCTTTCATCAGTGTCCTGGGGCCTGAGTTACCCTGGACAAGCCATCCGTATGTGTGTGAGTCTCCATTTTGTCATCCACACGATGGAGTATCACACATCTCCCTTAGGAATCTTTGAGACAGTGTATGTGTAGCATTTTGTAAAAATGTATATTCTTTCCCAAAGGTGAGAAAGTACTGCTGAGATTCCCAGTCTATCTTCCCTTCTAAAGGCTGTATCACGTTGAATGGTGAGGGAACTTCCTGATGGCTTTGCGTTTTCCCCAAGTCAACAATGCTGAAGTCCATTTCTAGTTGAGCCCCAGGGAGACAGGAATCTCTAACTGGAGACACTTCTGCAAGGCTCATTCTGAAGCTCAGCTGTGTGCACTCCTGGATGTGCCTTGGACTCCTTGACTATCCCTGC